CAACAGAACAGTCATTTGACATCAATAAATATGAAAAAGATTAAATAGCAAAAGTATAAATTGTCACAGTTAGTAATATAATAATTTAATTCTACAGTCCTATTTGAAAGAGTTTTCAAAGTTTCTTAATACAGCTGTTATTTAACCATTCCTCTATAGTGCAAGTGGTTGCTAAAGCAAATATCATGAGAGAGTGTGTAGGTGTTATCGGGTCAGTAAACCAATGCTAACTGCACAAAAAGCAGTGTAGACATGTCAAAACATGTAGAAATATACAAATATACTGTATGTAAGGTAACATTTTAAAGTGTAAAATGTTTTAGACAATATTTTGAAATGGTTAATTTTCTTGAAATATTTTAAAAGGAAAAAACATATTACAATATACAAATCAATATATAAGGAGGGTCAGAATAAAGTAAATGGACTATATGGTAAAGAAAAAAATGAAAAAAAATTCGGACCCTACGACCCTCAAACCCTACAAAACTTTTAAGGAATCTAATTTTTCTAAACAATTTGACCAACAGAAAACTTTTTGTGTTACAGATATGTAAAATTAGATTTAATTTCAATATACATAAATAAGACATTATTTAAAGGAACACTGTATTGTAAGGAATACAAATACTGTAAGGAATACGAATGCTACAGTATTTGCAATCAAGAGAGAAAATGGCCAACACGCTTTGTGTGAATGCCTCTATTTGATAAATCTCTCTTGATAGCTAAAAGGAATGGCGAGCGGCTGCACTCCTAATTAGGACAGATGGGGGCGTGATGATGTAAAACACCAAAAAAGGATGTGAGCTGATACACTTGATGTGGAAGTAGGGAAAGGAAGAAGCGTGGCATTTAAAGTGGCTTATATTAACCTTTGAATAGAGGGGTAGGTAGAATATCAGTACTTGTAATTATAGTATGTGGCTGCTGAAACTTCCCAAAAACCAGAGTCTCTTCTTTTCTGGTGGTACGATAGGTGTAAATAGTAGGATCAGGGAGCAGTGCCTGTGATGAAATTGTCACGTTCAGAGCGATATGGAGGAGGGAAGTAAGAAGACGTGGATATAGTGTAGTATTTTAGGATCTTAAGTGATAATAAGTGAAGGGAAAGGAATTGCACTTACAATTTTCTGGAGCTTATATTAAACCAAAGTTCTTTTATATATTCGGTTTACTTAAGAAAGAATGAAAAGAAAATAAGTAAAAGAAGGAGAGGGAGAGACTAAAGAGTCTCCAAAGAGTTTTATTTTTTGTTGGCTAAGAATAAAGTAAGCTACCTAGTTCAGCCTTCCTGCTGGTGATTACAATAAGGAAGGAGAAAAGAGAAGAACAAAGGAAACGGAGAATAAAAAAAAGATAAGAAGAAAGAAAGAAAAAAGAAAGGGTTAGGGTATAGGGTTAGGGTTAGGGTATAGGGTATGGGGTAGGTTAAGGAGCCCTACAGATGTTCTAAATTGCTGAAGTCCCGAATTGCCAAAAGTTTAGAATTTCAGAATTGTCGAACCGAAGAGCAAATTTTTTTTACGAACCAACACATTTTTTTGCCCATGCACATCTCTAGTAGGTAGTAAAAGGTTGACTACCCCTAATTTAGTCAATCCACTTTTTGATTAATCTAAAAAACAAAAAAAAATACCTCTTTGAAGTAATGGTTACAGATTCAAAATAGTATTCTAAGTAGTTTTTTTTTTAAATTAGGTTTCTAAATATGCAAATTGACATTGTGCTGCATTCTTAATATCTGACCCCTCCGTATGGAATATTTATCCATACTTTAGTAACTTTCAACTCACCTAATCTATCTTGTGAAATAGTTATGTGTCCAACTCTCTGTTTTCTATCAGTAATCTGGGTTCAGATTTTTTCTTGAAATTACAGTCCTACAAGAAGGATTATCAGCATCTCTTGGGAAACTAAAAAAGAAAAAGCATATTTTAATAAAAAGTGTATATCTCTGTGCCTAATGCAGAGACAAATGCTGAGTATCCTACTTGCATTTCTGCTTGTGTAAGTTCCTAGGTACAAATTAATACACTTGTGTATGGCACGATTGTTTAGTCAGCTGAATAATTTTTGCCAAAATGTAAACTTTATTTGGGATTTTCAATGTTCGTCCATGTAATGGTTCAGTTCAGGCTATCATAGTCCATGGAAAAAGATTCAGGGAAACATTTGGGCATGTCAGAAAGAGGGAAGAGGCCTGCAGCAATGCAAAATTTGCTACAATGTTACCTAGCTTACTGGCTTGGCAGTATCAGACATTTTTGCAATGCCAGTTCTGAGTTGTCAAGATAATATTATAAATATACACTAAAGGCAAAAAATGGGGAAGCCTTTTGAAAAAATTGTATTTCTGAGGATTGGTGGCTCATATCATCAAACATTTTTAGAATATTACTGTCCGATGAAATTATATATCATTAGAAATATAATTTAATTTTACAGATTGTAAGGCAAAACACTTTTTTTTTTAAATTGCATTTTAAAAGATGTTTCAAAAAAGCTTAAACACTTCTTGAAACCTCATCTTGAACACAGCATCAATAATGCCAAAGAGCTGAATCCTGTTGACATATATAGGTTTCATCCTTTAGTCAAAGACTAAAGTTTTGGCTCATGTATATCATTTATGTATTTTTTTGCCATTTACAGTAGTATCAATCACGCAAAGGCTGCTCACACGTTTTATTTATTTTATAATTGATTGTTTCTTCTTTTCCAATCTTGTATTTGCTGTGCAATTTTGGGCACCTGTTCTAAAGAAGGATATTATGGCACTAAAAAGAGTGCAGAGGAGGGCTACAGAATGAATAAAATGAATGGAATATATCAGCTATGAAGAAAGGTTAACAAATTTAAACCTCTTTCGTTTAGAAAAACGTTGCCTCAGAGGGGATATGATAATATTATACAAATATATTAGTGGCCAGTACAAACCATTGTGTGGAAATCTATTCACAAACAGGACTTTGCATAGGACACAAGGTCATGCATTTAGACTGTAAGAAAAAAGATTTAGTCTAAGGATAAGGAAAGGGTTTTTTTACCGTAAGAACATTAAGGATACAGAATTTTCTGCCTGAAGAAGTGGATTTATCAGACTCCGTACAGATGTTTAAACAGCAACTAGATGCATAGTTACAAAAACCGAATATTCAAGGATATAATTTTTCAATGTAGGGTAAATAATTCTTGATCCAAAGATTAATCTGACTACCATTCTGGAGTCAAGAGGGAATTTTTTTTTCTTCTTTGTTGCAAAATTGGAAGTGCTTCAAACTGGTTTCTGTTTGCCTTTTTGGGGTCAACAGCAAAAAACAAATATGAGGAAGGCTGAACTTGATGGACACATGTCTCTTTTCAGCCTATGTAACTATGTATTAATGAAAAGGGGAGCAGCAGGGGACATTTAAAATAAAAAAAAATAGATTTTTTTCAAAATCTGAAATGCAAAGGTGTGTGCATAACTAAGATTTACTCTTCCCTTCCACACTACAAATAAAGATTTCACACACATTCAGTCGGTAGCATGAGTAAATGTCTTTCTGTGCCCTATCAGCTTCTCACAAATGTGTTTGCAGAGGTAGAAGGCATAGTCAAAACAAAACTATTACAATGAAAGGCATTTGAAAACACTACAACAATCAGCATCACCACCACCATTTTAAATGCTTTTTATTGTTTTTCATAAAAAGAGTAAAATAAGGTACCTGTCACACTTCAAGCAGGGCTAACTTCTGCAGTCTACTTCCACATAATATATTTTAGAGAGGAAAGAAGCTTGCAATTTGAAATTCACAAACAGAAGCACAGAAGCACACTTCACATGAAATAATCTTTCACTAGAAATCTAAAAAAAAAAAGACACACATCAATAATACAATTCCAAATTAGCAAATCAAAGTGGGTGTATGTTTCATTGCGGCTAAGGAAGAGGATTGTTTGTATTATATTTTGTTTAAATTCTAAAGCACGATCCATAACCTCTCCCAATGTTATCTTTTTTAGTTTTGTTTAGACTTGTTTTGTTCCAAGCTATAATTTGTCTGAATTCAGGCTGATGAGTGATAAACTGAAATTCCGATTTCTGTACCAATAGCCAAAATCACAGAACAAATGACTTGCAGAATGCAAAGACATGTTGATTTAGATTTTTCAGTTTGTTTAGTGTGGAACTATTACCAGTATACAGTTTTTAAAAGTTTTTTTGTTTACTGTTTGTAAGAAGAAAATACTTTTTTTTGGGTGTTGTTCAGTAAAAATGAAAGGAAATTTTGCATAGCTACTCCACCATTGGTAGATAACCTGCTTGATTTTATTCTAGTGTGCTAGCCACTTAACACCAAACTGAGATCACCGATCTCAATTATTTAATTTTTCTTTCTTTTTTTTTGATAATTGACAATTTTTATTGTATGTTTTTGCAGAGCTGCAAGCATTTGCAAGCATGTTTGGGGGTACAGAATAAAGAAAAAGTATAGGGGGTAACATTGCATAATAAAAAGTCTGGCATGACTTTCCATGATCTTTACAATTATTTCGCCTCTTGCGTCTGTGGTTGGCAAGTGTAGTGCACATGTTGGATTCTGTATCAACTTTTATATAACATACTTAACATATTTACATATGAAGAAACCTATTTACAACATATGGTCTGTTCTGTGTACCTTGTATGCCTACATGATGTTGCTCACTGACTGGGAGACCCGCTCATGTCTGCTAATGAACTTCTTTCCAGGTGCTTTTATGTGTTCCCATGACATCTGGATTTTTATTTCCTGGTACTCATGGCCAAACCTCATGTCTATGTCCGTCTCTTTGCTCTTACTAAGCATGGTTTAGGTGGGGCCGTGGGTTTTGTCACCCAACGTGTCTGGGGTGCCGTCTCTATATGTTTTCCACATGTTATACATCCGTACGTTTGTATACCCTGTACGTAAGTGAGTTACTGCGAATCTTTCATAGTCCACATTGGCGGAGATGAGGTTTGTCAACCTCTAGTTTCTAGCAATCAGTGTCGTTGCTGCTATTATTATGAGAAACGTCAGTTTGCGGATAGGCTTCGGTAGGCTATTTGGCATGATGTGCAGTAGGTATGTTTCTACGGTTCGTGGCGCTCGTCTCCCTGTACTGTTAGTGATTATGTCATCTACCTTCGTCCAGAATGGCCGTATCAGTCGGCACATCCACCATATATGGAGTGTGTCCCCAGGTGTCCTCCGACATCTCCAGTATTTGTTATCTGTTGTTTTGTACATTTTGGACAGTTTTTTGGGTGTCAGGTGCCACCTGTATAGTAGCTTCCTCGACATCTCAAGGTGTGAGGCACAAGACGATGAGCCTCTATGTGCCGTGAAGGCCATGCTCCATTCTTGGGTTGTCAGATCCCTCCCTAGGTCTTTGTGCCATTCCTTCTGGAACCCCCATATTTGTGTTTGTGGTTCTTCTATGAGTGTGGAGTAGAAAAACAAGAGGGTTTTTTTCTGTTAGTGCATTTTTATACATTTACTTTTGAATTGTGTCATCTGTGCTATCTCGTTCTCTCCCCTGTTCTGCCGTATCTCCTCCTTAAGTGTGTGGTGCAGTTGTAAGTACGAGAATTGTGCCATGTTTGGGATATGGAATTTTGTCTTCAGGTCCAAGAAGCTCTTGAGGGCACCTCGATGGGTTACCTGGTATATGTGGGTTACATTGTGTGCTGCCCATATCTTAAAATTGAATGAGGGGTTTAGTACGTGTAGGGTTCTCAGGGGGGTCGCAATATCACCATTTTAATAGCTGCGCATCAGCCCACCCATGTGATGTATTTCCCTTCCCATGTCTTTAAAGTGTTTTCTATCTCAGTGTGCAATTTCTGGTAGTTTGTTGTAAAGAGAGAGTTATGTGATTTTGTCAATCTAATGCCTAAGAAGGTGAGGTAATCCTGCCTCCAGTCATAGTTATCGGAGGCGTTCCATGGTGTCTCCCTCAATTCCTATTCCCATCGCTTGGGTTTTTGTAACATTGAGTTTATAGTAGGATTGTGCGCTATACTTTTGTAGTTCTTTCTGAAGGTTGGGAAGTGATATAATTGGTTGGGCTAGGGTTAATAGGACATAGTCTGCAAATAGGTTGATTTTATATTCCCGGTCTCCTATCGGTATGCCATGTATGTTGGGGTTGCGTCTAATCGCTTCTGCTAGTGGTTCTAGAGCTAGAACATAAAGGAGAGGTGACAGGGGGCAGACCTGCCGGGTACCATTGGAAATGGTGAATGGGATGGATTGGAACCCTGATGTTGATACTGAGCCATTCGGAAGGCTGTACAGGGCCTTTACAGCCATCTGATACTCATGTGGGAAGTCATATTTCACAAGGACAGCATCTAGGAAAAGCCAAATGCTTTCTCTGCGTCAAGGGAGATTATAAGTCCCTGTGTTCGGTCCATGTGTATCGTTTGTAAAATGTCTACTACCTACCGTGTGTTGTTTGACCCCTGTCTCCCATGTACAAAGCCCACCTGATCATCTGAAATGATGGTTGGGAGGATGGTCTTAAGACGGGTGGCTAGGATTTTAGCATACAGTTTGATGTCTGAGTTCAGTAGCGAAAGTTCTGGCATTGCATTGGTGGTTTGCCGGGTTTTGGGAGGGTTATCACCCTAGCTGCCAGGAATTCCGAGGGGAAAGCCCCTGTACTTTTCGAATGGTTAAATGCTGTGGTGAGCTGCGGGGTTAAAAGGAGTTTAAATTTTGCGTAGTATGCATTAGTATATCGGTCGGGGCCTAGGGCCTTTCCTGTGGGGAGGGAGTCTATGCAGTCCATTATTTAGTTCTCTGTGAAGGGGGCTGCCAGGGCTAGCTTTTTCGGTTTCAGTCAGGGTAGGCAGGGGGATCTCCATTAGATAGGTCTTTATGCCTGCAGCTAAAGGGAGTTTGGGTCATCTTTAAGGTTATAAGTTGACCGTAGTATTGTGCGAACTCCCTGCAAATCTCTGCGGGTAGGGATATTTTTTTGTCCTTCTTTATTTACTGTGTGAGCTATGCGTGTTTGTTGTTGTCTGTCCCTTAGTCTTTGGGCTATAAGCTTGCTCGCCTTGTTACCCTGTACATATGAGTGTGTTTTCAGTCTTTTTAGCACGAGTCCAAACTTATGTAGTCGGATCTCGTTTAGTTTATTTTGTAGGACCGTTATTTGCTTTTTACACTCTGTTGAGGGTTGTGTTTGGTTATCTCTGTGCAGTGTCTTTAGCTGCTGTCTGCATTGTGTCAGTTCCTTTTCCTATTGCTTCTTGATATATGAAGCTCTACTTATCAGTGTGCCTCTCACCACCGCCTTGTGTGCCAGCCAAAGCATGTGGGGGTTTTGGACTGATGTGGTGTTTGAATTAAAGTAATATTTTAGTTCCTTCTCTAGGTGTGTGCAAAATTGCGTGTCTTTTAGTAGGCTCTCATGGAGGTGCCACGGATTTCTGTGTTTGTATTCATATGTGTTTGTGATCGTCAGTGTTACTGGTGCAAGGTCCGACCAGTTTATTGTTGTGATATCGCAGTCTAGTATTCTGGTCATGGTGGATTCATGCATGAGACACCCGTCAATTCTAGAGTACGTGTTATGGACTTTCAAGTGGTGTGTGTATGCTCTTTCCCCTCGGTGGAGGGCTCTCCACACGTCTTGGAGACCGAACGATGACACTAGTGTCCTACGGGCTTTGCTTTGGTTTTTTTAGAGAGCTATAATGTGGAGAGGCGGAAGGTCTAGTGGAGTCCAATATTGGGTCAAATATGTGGTTAAAGTCTCCACATACCAGGAGGGTGCCTCTCCTCATCTTTACCGTTTTGGTGAGAACCCCGTGGAGGAAGTTCCTCTGGTTGGGGAATATACATTTACCAGTGTGTAATCTGAATCGTTTATGGTGCATTGCCAAATGATGTATCATCCCCCGGGGTCTAGTATGTGGCCATGCGTGGTCACCGTGAGGTCCTTGCTGAGGCGTATGGAGAACCCTTTAGATTTCTATGGTGTAGTGGTGTGTAGTTGGTGGGAGTAGAAGCGTGAGCTCAGTTGTGGATGTGCGTCTGTCCTGAAATGGGTTTCCTACAAGTATGCTATATCTGCCTGCATCTTTTTGAGTTCTCTGTCTAGGGCATGTCGTTTGTAGGGAATGTTTAGGCCCTGTGTGTTATGGGAATATATTTTCATACTGAATGTAGGTGGTGGGGAAGCGCGTTATTCTGTCCCTGTGTCTCATGGATGTTTTGTGAGATGCTCGTTTGGTGTATGTCCAGCAACTGGCTAGAAAGTGTGCCTCCATGAAAGTTATTCCCCTGAGACATAGTTGGCTCTTGTGTGACCATATTCTGATTAAATGCCTGTGTGAGTCCCACTCTGGGTGCGTTCCTCCGTCTCTGCCCTTCAGTAAACAAGTATAGGCTGTTACATCTGTGTCCACAGTTACGACCATAGAAAAAAAACATTTAACATATATACACAAACAGAAATTTAAACTCAACTTGTACATTTGTACCCAAGGGGTAACTATAGGTGAAATTTATCCTGCTAGTTTCTCCCATTAGCTATAACTTGCAAGGGGGTGTTGGGGTACAGGTCCAGCCTGCAGGCCACTCAGGTACCTGTAGCCACCATGCCTCTGGCTCTGAATTTTGTCTCCATTGAGGAAGGTAGATGTGTGACTGAGAAAACCACTACTGTCTATGGGCCGTGTTACTAGTGGCCCTGTATATTTATTGTCTCCCGCGGCTATATCGCAAACACGTCGGGTTTAAGCGAATCCGGTAGGGGAGAGGGGGATAAGGAGTGTTGTGTATTCTGATGGTTGGGTAGGTTCTGGGTTTAATTTCGGCTTGGGCCTTATGTTGGAGCGAGAGGGGTCCCTCCTCTCCGTCTCTTTTGTTAACGCACCTTAGTCGGAGTGCCCTCCCCAGTTTCCCATGCTTCTGTCATTTGTCTTCCCTTGCCTGCTCCCCTTATATATTGTAGATCAACATTAAACACAAAGTAGTATTCTTGCACATTACCCATTCCCGACCAGAGTCCGTAGTGCACAGAATCACACATTTCAATTGGACCTTTGTAGCTTTAATGTCCATATTGCTCCTCAACAGGGCTAGGACCCATATGTGTCGAGAGGGTGATACTTGTCGCCTTCATTTTCCTGCCGCTGTCTTAGAGGATTTGGGGTGTCTGACAGTCTGCCATTCCGGCTGGATCGCTGCTTGCCATTTGGACCTTTCTTCCGAGGTCACTGTGACAATGCCCCAGCTGCATAGCAGGCGGGTGCCCGCCTCCACATCCACGGTCACATGTGTTTTACTGTCTTATGAAATCAGCAACTTAATCGGAAAGCCCCAGCGGTATGGAATTTTTCTGTTTCGTAGCTCTGAGGTTATGTCTCGGAAATGTCTTCTGTGCCGAAGTGTCTCTGCGGAGAGGTCTGCATACACTTGGATGTGTCTGTATTGCTCCGGTAAATCATGTTGCGGCCATGTGGAGCGGAGAAGGGCCTCTTTAACGTGATAGTAATGTAGCTTAGTTAGTACATCTCTTGTAGTGGATGCAGGTAAGTATTGAGGCTTCGCTACTCTGTGTGCTCTGTCCATTAGAAACATATTAGCTGGTATGTCTGGGGCCAGGGCTTGAAACATGCCTGTGAGATATGCCATCAGGTCTGTAGCTTGAACATCCTCAGGGACCCCTCTTACCCGTAGGTTTTGGCACTGGGATCTCTCTTCTAGGTCCATATTTTTCAGTTCCTGTTTTTCTAGCCATTCTTCCATCTCCTCCATTTTTGCCGCAAAGCTGTCATGTGCTTCAGCGTAGTCCGCCATCTTGCTTTCCATGTGGGCTGTGTGGTTGCCGAGATCCATAATGTCACGCCGGAGATCTGCATAGCTGATTGTACTGTATTTTGGATTTTGTCATCCAGCATTTTCTGGATCTGCTCCCCCTGGATATGGATAGTATTTTGTGGGGAGTGTGGCCTGGATCGATCCCCATCATCTCCACTGCTGTCGCCATCTTGTATGGTCTGCACTGCCGTCCTCAGACTCGCCGGTTTTGCTGCGAAGGAGTGTTTCTCCTTGGCATCTGCCGTTTATCGTGACATGGTGGCTATGTGGGGTGGTTTCGGGCTGTTAAGCCGCTGTGAAATCTGCTTATTTAGCCATCAGCCGGGGAGCTCTGTCCTTATGCGGCCATTCAGCTCGAGCGCAGGCTCCGCCCCCAAAGTTATGGTTTTTTTTAAACTGTTTTGTAGAAAGAAAATCCTCATTTCATTTTTTTTTGGAGTGTGTTTGAGTCCAATGAATAAAACTCCTTTTTTTTAATTTTCTCATTGTGTTCAGTTGTAAGAGGGGTAGTGAAGAGGTTGTGTTCCCAAATTCACAATCATCAACAACAGTCCTCAGGCCTCTGAGAATCTTAGGAAAGCTATTTCTCAGTCATAAGCACCACCACCACTATTTGTAGCATTCAGCATCAAGATATTGGGATTAGCAGCATTTCTTTATATATCTGATTCACCACCCAAGATGCAATTGTTTTATTCTCAACATTTTCATGCTGCAATAACTTGTGCTGCCACTTTCACTGGCATTGCTGCTCCTTCTACCACAGCTATTTAAAGTGTTACATCTTCTTTGTTTTATGATGCTTGGAGCAAGGGATCAGTGAAAGCTTGAAAGGTTGGTTTTACCTATTATCCACCCTGTTTCACGTACACGCCTCTACCTCCTCTCCCACAGCATCCAAGAAGCAATAAGGGAGAGCTCAGAAGAGATTTAGTTGGTTTCATCAGAAATAACCTTTACAAAAGAGGCAGAGCAGATTGCCTAAGTAGAGTTGTCAATGTTTCTGTCTTGGGCATGGCAGGAATCTGGTGATGATAGTATCTCTACTTTCCCCATCACTACACAAATTTGTTTGTCTGTTCCAGGAGGAATGTAACTATTATACATAGGAGTTGCAAGAGGAGTCTGAAGATTAAAGGCAGCAACCCACTATTTCCTGCACCTAATGAGTCTTTATTTGCAGTTAAATAACTTGATTTAATGGAAAGAATTGGGAAATCATCTGCTACCAGTCCCAGAAATTTACTTTGAACAACAATATCATTAGTAGAAATCAAGACAGGTGATGCAAAACTAACTTAAAGGGACACTATAGTCACCTGAACAACTTAATGAAGCAGTTTTGGTGTATAGAACATGCCCCTGCAGCCTCACTGCTCAATCCTCTGCCATTTAGGAGTTAAATCCCTTTGTTTATGAACCCTAGTCACACCTCCCTGCATGTGACTTGCACAGCCTTCCATAAACATTTCCTGTAAAGAGAGCAGGATCTCAGGATCTCCCCTGTCGGCTCATGCAGAGCCGGCACTATCCGAGCGCCAGCTCTGCTCTCAGCCTCCCTCCCCACCGACCCACAGGCAGGGAGGGAAGCAGGAGAGGACCCGGGGAGCTCCACCGGGTTCCTCTCGCGAGATCTGAGCTTTGACGCGGCTCAGATCTCGCGAGAGTGAACTCTAGCCCCGCAGTATTGTGGTTTTCATAGCATTTGAAACACTGTTTAATTTCTCTTGTTCTTTGCATGCTTTCTCTTTGCTAACTGCCAGGTGCATACAACAGTGATAGATAGGGAGTAGAGATGGATACACCCATATTCAGGATAAAGAAGTGTGGATTTATACATATAATTTTATTTTTAAATATAGGGTTAAGTTAACACAATATTCAACATAAACGTGTGATACATATTTCTAATAGCTATATAACATTTATTTAATATATTTTATTTTTCACCTCTCACAAATATATATGTGGCAAATACAGAGTTAAACAAACACAATATTGAAATGTCATAACACATAATACATAAGTGTAACTTACATTAAGATTTATTAAACTTATTTTTTTAACCAGCTTAAAATGTCTTTATACATACAAATAAAAAATAAGTGTGTGTGTGTGTGTGTGTGTGTGTAAATTTTAGGCTGGTTAAAAAATAAGTTTATTTACATATGTGTATATATGTTTAAAAATAAGTTTATTTATGTATGTATGGTTAAAAAATAAGTTTATATGTATGGTTAAAAAATAAGTTTATTTATATATGTGTATGTATGTGTATTTTATATATGTGTGTATTTTATATATATATATGTGTGTGTGTATTGATATTTTATACATACAAATATAACAATGTTTTTTTTCTTGATTTTTTTTTCTTATTTTAGTTTTAACAGCAAAAGATAAAAATGTGCAGGTTTGTGAATTCTGACACAGGCAAGAAATGTGTTCTCTCACCTATCTCTTCCATAAACCAAGCACAATTTCAAGCTTTAGATATAAAAAAAAAAAAAAGAAAGAAACATATGTTTTGTGCTCTATACCGAGAAATTCATATGGTATCGTATATACTAAGCCGACCCGAATATATGCCGAGGCCCCTAATTTTACACATTAATTGAATATTTATTTACAGTGTGTGTATAGAATGAATGCAGAGTGTATGTTTGTGTGTGTATATAATGAATGCAGTGTGTGGTGTGTGTGTGTGTGTGTGTGTATATAATGAATGCAGTGTGTATATAATGCAGTGTGTGTTTGTACAGTGTGTGTAAACTGGGTGAGGGGAGGGCATTTAATTTTTTTTATTTTAATATTATATTATTTTAATAATATTATTTTATTATTATATTATTATTATTTTAATATTTGCTTGTTGCCTGGCCAGGGAGGGGGGACAAAAAAAAAATAAAAATAAAAATAATGCAAATATTAAAATAATATAATAATAATAATAAAATATTGTTATTAAAATAATATAATATTAAAATAATATTACTATATTATTATTATTTCAATATTTGCATTATTTTTTTTAAATGTTTTTTGTCCCCCCTCCCTGCTTGTTGCCTGGCCAGGGAGGGTGGACAAAAAACATTTAAAATAAAATAATGCAAACATTAAAATAATATAATAATAATAAAATATTGTTATTAAAATAATATAATATTAAAATAATAATATTACTATATTATTATTATTTTAATATTTGCATTATTTTTTTTAAATGTTTTTTTGCCCCCCAGGCAACAAGGAGGGAGGGGGGGACAAATTTTTTATTTTTTATTAAATAATGCAAATATTACAATTATAATAATAAAATAATGTTATTATTTTAATGTTATATTATTTTAATAATATTATTAAAATAAAATAATATTAAAATAATGAATCCCTGGTGGTCCAGTGGCATTGGCAGTTAAGTGGGGGGGCTGGCAGTGAGCTCTTACTTACCTTCCTGCAGCTCCTGTCAGCTCCCTCCTCCTCCGTGCAGCTCCTCTGTCAGCTCTGTTCTGCTCACAGTTTAAGTCTCGCGAGACCCGCGGCTCTCACAAGACTTACACTGTGAGCAGAACGGAGCTGACCGAGGAGCTGCATGGAGGATGAGGGAGCTGCAGGAAGGTAAGTAAGAGCTCACTGCCAGCCCCCAACAGGACCGCCGGGCTTGTAATGAGCCCGGCAGTCCTGGTCTGTATTATGGCAATGTAAGTTGCCATAATACAGACTGACTGGAGTATAAGCAGAGTAGGGGTTTTTCAGCAGAAAAAATTTGCAGAAAAACTCGGCTTATACTCGAGTATATATGGTAAGTCATATTAAACGTGAAGTCCTGAAATCCAGAGAACTGTCAGATGTGTGCAGCAATTGCTTAGAGGAGAAAAAGGAACTTTTTGATTATCGTTATTACTATTCTATATTTTATTCTTGAGGCAAGTGACTATAGAAGTCTAAGATTTCTATCTTTTTTTTTTAAATCTAAATCTGTTTAAAACAGTGCTCTTTTCATTCAACGATCTGTTTCAGAAAGTAATGATTAGTGGTAAAGTATAGTACAATATAGTGTGTGTATATGTGTGTGTGTGTGTATATGTGTGTGTGTGTATATATGTGTGTGTGTGTGTGTATATATATATATATATATATATATATATATATATATATATATATAGAAAAAAGCACTGTACCTTGCACTCAAACTCCATGTTCCCAAACCGGGTGCACTCCCAGGGCTCCAAATATCCAAAAAACTGTGTCAAGGGTTGCACTCACGGATTCTTTAAAACATAGCTTTTATTAAATACTCCTAAAAAATCGATGTTTCAGTCCTATTCAAGGACTTTCATCAGGATTATGAAAACATTGTATAGCATAACAATTTACCCATATATAGGATACAATAAATTACATAAACTCACCACCGGTGTCATAAGGGAACCGGCGTCCAAGCCGGAAATGTGCGCATGTGCCGAGAAACTCCTCCCCCCGGTGAGACGTGCAACGCCGCCGTTACTGTAGTAACGCGGCTAAAGTGTTCCATACTAAGACCGGCATCCAAGCCGGAAGTGTGCGCTAATGCGGAAAAACTCCGCCCCCCAATGTGACATCATACGTATAACGCCGTCGTTACCATGGTAATGCGGCTATGAGTAAACAAAGAAATTGCAATCAAAATATATGAAAACAAACATATCAAAACTGTAATCTAGATATGAGCACCTAGACTTCAATAACATATTGATAAATCAGATTTGATTGGGACAAGTATAAATGTGAACTATGCATATTAATAAAGTGCTAATGGATCATATAAAGTGCAAAATCAAAACCATCTCTTAAAGTGCTATGTACGTGCAAAATTAGCACTATGGCACTTTAAATATTTTGCACGTACATAGCACTTTAAAAGATGGTTTTGATTTTGCACTTTATATGATCCATTAGCACTTTATTAATATGCATAGTTCACATTTATACTTGTCCCA